AAACAAGTCCAGACAGAACAAGGCTTAAGGAGCTCCGATCGCCCTGCTGCCACATACAAGATGGCGGTGACGTAGTGCAGGACTCAGCGCTCAGTGAGGCGTCTACGTCATTCACGTCTATGGTCTCAGGATGGTGTATACTAGCATAATTGACAGCGCCAAGGCCCTTCTCCTGGCTCAGATTGGTTCTTTCTGACCAAACTGTGCATTAGCACTGGGAGAATACAGAGGAGCTTAAATTGTAAAACACTGTGACAACATAGTGACAGTTTTAGCAAATATGTAGAAAATATTATTTTTTCTTATAAAAATTACATAGTTCAGCTTTAATGTTGTTGGATGTTATGTTCCTGTTGTGTCCTGTTGATATTTCACTTGTCATATTTCTTGCTTATACCCAACTAGAAATGTAAAATTGCATTTTTGCTAATTTTATCAAATTTACACTTATATTTTCAGCATTGACATTTGACAAACTATGATGTTTACAGTTGTTTTATGTTTTTTCTATTTTTTTATGTTTTTATGATGTAAAACACTTTAGTCAGCCTTGTTGCTGAAATGTGCTAATAAATAAACTTGATTAAATAGGCACTGTACTTTTTAAATATATTAAAAAATAAAAATAGAAAAATTATTTAAAAACATATGATAAATGCTCTTTGTCTAACTTTATCAGCTTTCCTCATAAAATATTGGAAAGAGCAACTCAGTGTCCAACCAGCTCTGAGCTCAGTTCAGGTTTTGTTCTTAGAGCCATTTTACCCATGAGCATAAGACAATACCTGAGGATGCGCTTATTAGCACCTGCAATTTTCTTTCACCTGTAGCTAAATACCAATTTGTGCCTTTCAGCTCCATGAAGTATATGTGCTATACAACCTGTCACTCTACCAATTGGGAAAAGCTGTGTGATTTGTGTGTGTGTGTGTGTGTGTGTGTGTGTGTGTGTGTGTGTGTGTGTGTATGTGTTCTCACAGAAGCCTAATTGTCCAGCTCCCAGGGAACTTGTAATGCAGCCACAGTTCATTTAGTGACTCTATCTGCCCCAATTAGAGAAGAGTAGAATGGGATTTAGTCACAAGCACTTATGATAACCACACTAATAGCTTCCTGTGATCCAGAAGAAATGGTCTTAATTATCTGTCGCTCACACAGTTCCCCGCTTGCACCTTTCTTTACCAGCTTCTACAAATCCACGAATGAATTCATTTGTAGTCTGAGCAGTATTAGAGTCCGGCCTTTGACATTTCAAAAACAGAAAAAAAAACAAAACAAAACACGATAGAATAAGAGGGATAAAGTCAAGAGTACTTAGAATTTGAAAAGAGATGTGGCTTTGTCAAAGTTTGTTGCTCTTAGGCTGGAAAGTTGCTTCCTGTTTTACTTCAAAAGATAGTTTATGTGGAGATGGATGGAGCTGAATACACAGCGAGGCAGTAGCTGGGTTCAATTCCCGGCCCGGGATCTTGATTCATGTAGTCTGCATGTTCTCCCTGTGCAAGGTGGCTTCTCTCCATGTTCTCCAGCTTCCTCCCACAGTGTGTGTGTCCATGGTTGTTTGTCCTGTCTCTCTGTTGCCCTGCGATGGACTGGCAACCTGTCCAGGATATACCCCCGCCTCTTGCCCATTGACCGCTGGAGATAGGCACCAGCACCCCTAGTGATCCATTAGGGTGTGAAGATAATGGATGGACGGATGGAAGTTTGCTCACAAGATGGGTAATAAAAAAACATCATCCTCTGACCACTTTCTGTCATGTTTTCTGCCAGTAGGAACATCGCTGACCACGACTCATGATGCAAAAAGAGTTTCTATTGCAAATTTGAGAAATACACTAATTTCGATACAGCTGAAAAACCACCTCAATTTAGCGCAAAACATTTGATTAAATGTTTCCATTAAGCAAATTTATTTCATTACTTCCAATATGCGCAATTTTATGATTAATGAAAACACAGCTAATGACCCTGAACATGTAATTGAAGCGACAAAAGGCAGTTTTGGATGAAAGCATGATTGTGTTATGAAGGCTCAGTAAGTGTTCCCATGTAGATTTAATAAAAATCTGTGTTGGGATTTTTATGTTACTACATTAATGTGGACATATGCGCTCTAACCAATCTCACTGCTCTTGAGCCACTTTCCAAGCTCCGTCCTCTACACTGAAAAACAAATCTGTGTAAAATTCCTTCCTTTCGGCAGAAAGGAAGGAATTTTACATTTTGAACATGTAACAGGTGTTTTTCCTGTATTTTCTATTTTACAAGCTGTAGTAGTTACCTGTACACTGGAACATGTACCGTTTGGACTTCAGTTGGTTTAGAAAGCTTGAGTAACTTTCTTGGCACCTCTGTGGTAAACGTAAAAATAAACCAGAACATTTTTTCTGAGTAAAATGCTTTTGAAAATAGTAGTAATTAGCTGACGTTGTTTGACTTTGGGAGACTCAGTGAGTATATTATAGTAAACTATTTTGCTGTCTTATTTTGAAGTGTTTTTATTTTACTCTGAAAAATCTTTATAAATAATTTTAAAATGTAAAGTTTTAAAATTATATGTATGCTTTATAATCCATCTTACATGGTTTATAAATGTAAGATGAGATTGTTTGCTGTGATCACTGTATTTTCTTTTTCAAACTCCAAGTGCTGGCAGCCATTTATGCCGTTATCTCATGATGAGTTATATTTGGTAGCTGGATTTGCTTGACCCATCTTAAAATAAATATGTTCCACAAAACTCCCAAAAATACCTGCATGTATGACAGTCAACATCTGCTGTGAGTTTCTCTTGATCTAGCTTTCCATTGTGTGATGGTTATGTGATCAGAGGTTTTATTTATTTTTTTGGGAGACATGCTCTAAAGTTGAAGGACAAGGCAAATGTCTGAACTGCAAGAATAGCAGCTGGTGCAGGAAAATGTAGCCTGGTAAAAACCAGCCTCTTGTCCTACGCTTCACTTTGTGCATTGAGTACGAACCCTCAGATATTGAGAAACAATAGCATTCCTCGAGGTGTAGACTCTAAGTTTTAAATGATCTGATGTGATTTTACCCAGTTGCTAACACTTGGCCATGACATTTGTAATGTGCCAGGCCAACCATGAAGGAAGCTACGCTATGATGTTTATCAGAAGTTGCCTGCACTTTAAATAATCCCTGACAATATCTTTGATGAAATGAAATGTCTTACAAATTCCACCTAGCAATGGCTAAGTTCAAAAACTGCTTTAGATACTATTCATGCGTTCGTATAGTTTGATATTGTTTGATGATCTGACACAATTCAGAAACAGGACAAGGTCCCCTTATTCATTTACTCTGGTATACTATCATGAAGGAAGCAAAAATGAAACCTATTTGAATGCTGACAAACACTTAAAGTGTAAGAACAAATATTTCCTGGAGCTGTGAGTTCATCACTGAAGCAGAAAGTGTTGAAAACAATTATATAGAAGAACCTGTCCTCTATTAAGCTACTGTCCTTGGATTTTGCAAGTGTGTGTTGCTTGTAATTCTCCAAAGTGGCTTTCACACTCAGAGAAACGCCACTGAACCATCAAACAACACACTTTTAAAATCTCTAACAGCCCCCTGAAGTCTACTTAAAGCTGCTTGTAAACCTCCCAAGTCTCTTCTCTAAAACTTTCATTAGGCTTAGTGGCTTCTCTTTCTCTTGGAGAGAAGAGTCCTTGCTGTCTGTCTTCCCTCTTCTTTGTTTCACACTTTCAGATTTCTCTGTCTCATTATTCTCATCAACTCTCCTTTTCCTCGTCTCTGACTCTTTGTGTGACCCTGAAACTTGTGCCTAATGAATCATCTGAGGGGGCGTGTACATTTAAAGATTGTATCTGTTCGGTTGTGTGGTTCAGAAGTGAAGGCTAATGAGGCAGTAATTTAGCAATGATCTCTTAGCTGTTATAATAAACAACTGAGACATGAAGCAATTCTTTTGGCCTGCTGATACAATTTATTGGGGCTCAAAAATAACTGGACACATTGTAATTTGCCTGCATGTGAAATCCCAGAATCCTGAATGATGTGTTCAGTCATAGCCATTCATGATTGGTGTCATGTTTGTTTGTTTTTTCAGTTTATTTTAAATCTAACAATAAAACGCTTAGGCTACATATGTCTCATTTCGCTGACCCTTTATTGCTGTCTTCCAAGTTTTGGCATTCAGCATCTTAAAGTATATGTAAAGGTTTGGATATTTTTAAAGTAGTTATCCCTATAACTGGAGCATCATCATCACCATTTTCACTCGCTGCCTTCACTACCTGCCTGGAAGAGATAAGGACGTGGATGAATCAGAATTTAAACGAAACTGAGGCCATATTGATTGGCACACCCCACCAAGGTTCAATCTTCAACTTTGACGACTATTTCCTTCTCTGGACAAGACATCCCCCTTTCCACCACTGTTACAAATCTTGGAGTAAGAATGGATTCTCATCTAACATTTGAAAATCATAATAAGTATCTGTTTAAAACTTGTTTCTTTCATCTTCATAATACCTCCAAAATTCGACCATCTTTCTTTCTCTGATGCCGAGTCTCTCGTCCATGCCTTTATCTCCTCCAGGCTCGACTACTGCAACTCTGTTTGTTGGAATCCATAGAAAACATCTTCAGAAGCTTCAATACATTCAAAACAGCGCAGCCAGGATTCTATTGAGAGCCCGTAAATCTGACCATATTATACCTATTCTGCATGACCTTCATTGGCTTCCTGTCACCTACAGAATTCAGTACAAAATCGCTCTCATTACCCATCAGTGTTTAAACTGAACCTCACCGGATTATCTGAAGGACCTTGTCATTCCACTTTCATCCACCAGATCTCTACGATCACAAGGCTGCAACTTCCTCCACCTTCCTTGTTCCAGATTAACCCAAATTTGGGTCCTCTAGTGACAGGGGTGTCAAACTCCAGTCCTCAAGGGCCGCTGTCCTGCAACTTTTAGATGTGCCTCTGCTGCACCACACCTGAAAAGAATAATTAGGTCATTAGCAAGGCTCAGGAGAACCGATCTACACAGGGAGGAGGTAATTAAGCCATTTCATTCCACTGGTCTCATTTCATTCCAACACTGCAGGACAGCGGCCCTTGAGGACTGGAGTTTGACACCCCTGTGACATTGTGAATGACAACCTGAGACCAACAGGTTAAGGACCATGGGAGATCGGGCATTCGCTGTGGCAGGCCCCCGTCTCTGGAACTCTCTCCCGGACCATTTGAGAGCTCCGCAACCACTGGTTGACTTTAAAAGACGCTTAAAGACTTTTCTATTTAAGCAAGTCTATTCTGCCTCCACATGATTTTTATGATGCTGATTTTATCCTTAATTTTAGTTGTACTGTGTAGCACTTTGAGATTTTTGCTAATGAAAAGTGCGGTACAAATTAAATTTATTATTATTATTATTATTGCCATTGAAAAGAGCAGAAAAGTGAAAACAAAGAACACAAGACATCTGGTTCCACAGTGAAAGGTTTTGTCTGCTTTATTCAAACTCTAGCTAGTTTACCTCTAGCTTGCCTAGATTCTCTAACTAGAGTTTGGTCAGACACTTCCCCTCAATTCGTTTGGGAACGTCTCAATGCACAATTGAACTCTGATGCGAACCAAAAAAGCAAACTGTTGTTTGTCAAAAAACTAGATTTTGGCTTGGTTGAAGTGAACTCTGGTGCAGTTCGGAGGCATATGTGAATACCAAGCTGACCAGAGACCACTCCAGAACCAGAAACTAGAATAAAGTGCAGGGCATTGTGGGTTAATAAAACCAAAACAAACAAGCACATCTGGATGCTAGCTGGGGAATTGGCTCATGCTGACCCCATTGTTGAATAGTTTTTTTTTTGTGACAAATACAGCAAAGGCAAAGAGAGAAATCCTACAACTGGTAAAATCTGATGCTATTCTGGTATTGTTCATATTTAGTTAAGAAGGAAGTTGCACTCAGTGTCTTCTTCATTAGTTTTCCTGTCATTTCTCATTTTTCAAATGGTTTGTTTTGTCTGACACAGTGCAGCTGAAAATGTAACAAATGTAGCAATTTTGGTCCTCAGTCAAACCGACTACCAGAATATCAATTGTGAAAACACCCCATGTTGCACCCCTCAGTTTTTTTAATGAATTAAATTTGCATTAGAAATGTAATGATAGAAAATCACTGCATTGAATGATTTCCCAGCACAGGTTGAAAACATTTTAGTGTCTGAAAGAGAACAAGAGCATCAGCATCTGATTTGTCAGGATACGGCGAGAGTTAAAACATTTAGGTGTATGAACAGATTTTAGAGCAGGCTTCTCTAACCTTTCCCTGTATTTATGTTTTGCTGGAAGAGAGAGAAACATGGTTCAACAGTCTTCCTCTTTTCTTCCACCTGACCTGCAAGATGGGAGCTGACAGTAGATCAGAGCTTTCAGCGGTAAGAAGCAATGTGAGGGGAGCGGACAGTGCTGCTGGGCTTCAGAGATAGTTAAGAATCTGTTGGAAGGCAGGTTTCCTCTGGCACAGGGAATTGTCCAAGACCTTGTGGGCCAGCAGATTACAGAAAACACATGGATGTTTGGGGCAGATGGATGAATATGATAGGACATCTGTGCTATTATAGCTGCCCTAGTGTCCCCTGATAGAGTGAAATCAGAAATGTTTGCTTTTCATGCAGGAGTTGAAGTTAGGTGACTTTTTTGATCAAGTGAATTAGCTCTTCACAATGAATGTGTGCAGTTTCAGACTGTCAGATATGCAATTGACCACATGTTGGTGGACAAGGATAGCTGGATGGACTTCATAAACAAATAAAGGTACGATTATGCACAATTTTCAGTTTTACTCCAAAAACGAGATAGTCCAGAAAAAATTGAAATTATATAAAATATTATTTCAGTTTTTTTTTGTTGCTTTACTTAAATAAAGCATAAATATATATTTTGTAAAGCAACTACATGAATAAACTAAGGTTGAAATTGATATACAGCATCCTGTTGTCAGTGCTTTGCCTCACCACACGTCACTGCACTGACGAGGTTGTTGGTCTTTCACCATCTACACTTTGCAGCTGAGACATTAAAAAGCACAATTCCTCCTCCCTTTGCCACTGCTGCCCCAGATTGAAGGCCTCCCAGATGCTAGGTCAGGATCTCTGGAGATTTTCTAAAGTGAATAGAGGAGTGAAAGCAGGAAATTCCAAACTGCTCATTTAAGTGGTTGGTACCTTTTGAAGTCCTCTGGAAATCAAAAGGAAAAGTGTTGCAGCCATTTCAGCTCTTGGCAACAACGCAGATTTACAGAACCTCACAATGGTACCTACACCTCTTGAACTTTTTCTGACTTTGTTACTTCTATTTTAGTGAGATTTTATTTGAATAATAAAAAAACATAAACTGGAACTTAACAGTGAAGTGGAAGAAACATACATTGTTTCAATTAGTTTTTATGCTTTCAGAAAAAAAGTTCACTACATTTGTATACATCTCCCCCGAGTCTATATACTTTGTGAAACAACCTTCTGCTCTAATCACAGCAGCAACTCTCTTCCACTGCAGTTTCTTTGTATTGTGTAGATTTATGCAGTGGAACGTTTGCCTGTTTTCACTGCTAAACATCTCCAGCTAAATCCAATCAAATAAAGAGAATTTGTGAACATCAGTTCAATTTTACAGCTGGACTTTGATCTCATTCACACTGAGGCAAGTTTGGGTTTATCCACAAACATTTTTATTGACCAGAAACAATCATTTTTGAAAACTAGTTTTTCAAGAACACAGCACTTTATTAAAACTTACAAGTTTTGTGCTTTTTAAAATTATAATTATTTCTAAAGAATTTTCATCTGAACTCTTTTTAGGAACCTGTCAAATGCTGATTGTGCTGTACCTCAGGTTTGACCAAAGGCAGTAGAGGAAGTGAATGAAATCATTCAGTCTTTGTTGGTAACGCTTCCAAATATCAAATTAACATTAAAAGGCACTTCTTTCTTCACAGTGGAGGAAATATCTGGTAAGCTACATAGCGTTGAACTTGTACATTACATACGTCACAGCCAAGCATTAGCATTTGTTCAAAATGTAAAACTTCAACAGGGTCTACGCCTCCGGAAAGCAAATGTTTCTCAGTAGCAGCGAGTCCACTGAACGAAGTGTGACATAAAACAAGGGCCCAAGAAAATATTATCAAAAGTTGAGTCACTGTTGGGTTGGTTGGTGAACCTCCCCCTGTCTATAGGTTTTGGGTCCTTCCACTTTTTAAAAGAGACTGAATACAGTTGTGCTCTACTTGTTTTAGATTTTTTTTGTTAAAAACATAAAGTCAAATTAAATCCCACCAATATGGCTGCAATGTGAGAAATTATAAAAAGGTTTAAGAGGTGCACATTTGCAAGGCACTGTTAACAGAGAAGCGTAACTTTGTACTATTCTGCATGTATCCAGACACCTAGTATGAAAGCTGTATTGACCAAAAACCAACAGATTGTTTTTGTTTTGTCTTTATTATTGGACATAACCCAACATTTTCTCAAAATAAAAACCAAATGTGGAACTGCAAAGTTCCAGCGGTATTATTTTAGGAGCAGATACCATTCTGATATCGTCTGTCGGGTCGCTGGGTATTATTGGCTCAACGGCCACTCACCCAACTCTTCCCACAACACACTTTCACAAGATACATGCAACATGACTCTACTGCGGCCCAAAGTAACTTCATTACACAAGATTCAATGAGAACCACATGACATCTATCATGACAAATTAGTGGAAACTGTGAGGGTGTGTGTTGGTGTGTGACTGAGATGTTTTTAAGCTCTGGGTTAAGGAAGTTCACTGGAAATCTAAACTCTTCCAAAACATTAGAGGCATATTATGTTTGGCAACTCTGCATCTGGATACTCCCTGTGTTGAATTTAATGTGAGGATATGGGAATCAGACACGGTTTTAAAATCACAAAGACAGCTATGCAGAACTTAAAAATGTTTTGTTTACATCAAGTGATGTTAAGTTTTTGGAGTTACATTACCATTGTGTATTAAACTGTGATTCAAACGCTTATTTGAAAACACATAACCTTTATAAATCTTAAAGCCACACATGATTACTAGTTATCAGTAGCTTCGTTTCCATTTCAAATGTCCGCAAGACTTTGTCATTGTCAATATGCCACTAATGTCGAAAAGACAAAACTTCACAATTGCGGTGTTTCTATTAAATAAGAAACACAATTAAAATCAAACGTGAATAAGCTTGTTTATGCGGTAACTCATTAAAAAACATGCATCAACTTCCGTTGTCGTCTTCTTTGTGGTTTGCACCAGTGGCAAGGTTCAGCTGTTGCTCATGCGACTCATGTGATGTCATGCTGTATTTTCCGGACAATAGAGCACACCTTACTATAAGCCGCACCGACAAATTTCTTGAAAACCAAAAAACAACTGGAAACATACATACATAAGCCGCATCGGGCGATAAGCCACTGGTATCTTCGCCGCTCTCGGTTTTCACAAGAACGCAGCGGAGAGCTGTGTCCTTAATAAACCTGCTGGATTTATTAAGGACGCAGCTCCTCTGTATCCAACACCAAACCATGGATTCGTTCACGCCGAGCTTACGTGCAGCGGCTCAATTTCCTTCCTGTGCTGCCAGA